GCCTACGCGTCCACGAAACTTCAGAACTAGCGGGATAACTTTTATGCCGCCAAGTACGTAGGCGGGACCGATGTTCTGGAAGTTCAGAAGTCGAAAGAATAAGTGTTTTTTTTTATCTTCTCAACTCACCCTCTAGCTTGTTGAATCCGAGGTCGAGGGTCTTGAGGGCGCCAAGATCTCCTAGCTGCCGCGGGATGTGGCCTGTAGATGAACGAGTCAAAGCAGGGCAGTTTAACGGGATAAAAGCAAAAAAAGATACCTCCCGCTTTCTAGAAGATCCGTCCCGCCAACTAAAGAAAAATCCCCGCGCTTTCCGTACAAAAGTTTCGTGGACGCGTAGGCATCCGCGGGATTCATCGACAGCAGATCATAATGAGAAAGTCCAACATAAATATTTATTTGGAATGTACCTGTAAGTTTGTTGCTGTAGAGCCACAGGACCCGCAGGTTTCTGAGAGCCCCTAGCTCAGGCGGGATGTGGCCTGCAAGCGGACACGTACGCGTCCACTCAAGTTGTAGGACCGATATTCTAGAAAGCGGGGGCTTTGTTTTTTTTGTCCCGCTAAGCTTTCCGTTCCCCCCGTCCGCTTGCAGGCCACATCCCGCCTGAGCTAGGGGCTCTCAGCAAGCTGCGGGTCCTGTGGCTCAACAGCAACGAGCTTACAGGTACATTCCAATTAAATATTTATGTTGGACTTCTCATTATGATCTGCTGTCGATGAATCCCGCGTAGGCCTACGCGTCCACGAAACTTTTGTACGGAAAGCACGGGGATTTTTCTTTTGTCTCCTCCGAATTTGCTAATTTATCATGCAAATTCATGTTGCGCTCCATAACTCACCGCTTAACTCGTTGTTTCGAAGGTAGAGGTATTGTAGCGCTGCGAGGTTCCCGAGCTCCCGCGGGATGGGGCCTGCGAGCAAGAGGGCGATACAAACCAAGCGCGACAAAAAACAAAATATATTATCCCGCCTTTTGATTTTCAAGAGGACGCCAACGCATACGCGTCCATCCAACTCTATGCAGGGGATGTTTCACAGCATCATCAAATGACAAAACTATAACAACCGCCAAATATATCGTGAAAAATGTAATTCGTACCTGAAAGCTTGTTGCTGTCGATCCACAGCTCCTGCAGCTCGCTGAGAGCCCCTAGTTCCGGTGGGATGTGGCCTAAGAACGGACAGGGGGAACAGAATAGCTGAGCGGGGCAAAAAAAAGAATCTCCCCGCTTTCTAGAACACACCCACTCACCTACGCATGGACGCGTACGCGTTGGCGTCCACTCACGTGCATCAGCGAGATTCGTACACGGGACTCGCCGCAAAATCGGTCGTGGAACCGTCATCCAATCACATGTTGACTCACCGCTCAGCTGGTTGGCCTGAAGGTAGAGCGTCTTCAGTGCTGAAAGTTGCCCAAGCTCCGATGGGATTGGGCCTGCAAGCGGACGGACGGAACGGAGTAGCTCAGCGGGACAAAATAAAACAACCCCCCGCTTTCTAGAACATTGGTCTCGTACAAAAGTTTCGTGGACGCTTAGGCACTTGGCGGCATAAAAGCTATCCCGCTAGTTCTGAAGTTTCGTGGACGCGCGTTGGCGTCCACTTACGTAGGTATACACACATATTTATTTATTTTTGTCTTCCCGCTCTTCTTCTGTCCTGCCCCTGAACTTTCGACGGCAGGTCCCATTCCGCCGGAGCTAGGCAAGCTCGCAGCGCTGGTAAAGCTCGCACTGTGGGACAACCAGCTATCCGGTGAGGCATGAAATTGAGCATGAACGCCGCATATGTACTTGGCGGCATAGCAATTATCCCGCCAAGTACGTAGGCGGGACCGATGTTCTGGAAGTTCAGAAGTCGAAAAAACAAATGTTTTTTTGTATCTACTCAACTCACCCTCTAGCTTGTTGAATCTGAGGTCGAGGGTGTTGAGGGCGCCAAGATCTCCTAGCTGCCGCAGGATGTGGCCTGTAGATGAACGAGTCAAAGCAGGGCAGTTTAACGGGATAAAAGCAAAAGATACCTCCCGCTTGCTAGAAGATCCGTCCCGCCAACTAAAGAAAAATCCCCGCGCTTTCCGTACAAAAGTTTCGTGGACGCGTAGGCGTCCGCGTCCATAGATCTACGGAGATCGAATATAAAACTTTTTGGTAGTCCCCCCCCCCAAATAATTGAGTATTTGTTTTGTTTGTCTGTTTGCAGGGCCTATCCCGCAGGAGCTGGGCAAGCTAACAGCGCTGGTGGAGCTCAAACTATGGGACAACCAGCTATCCGGTGAGGCATGAAATTGAGCATGAATGCCGCATATGTACTTGGCGGCATAAAAGTTATCCCGGTAGTTCTGAAGTTTCGTGGACGCGTAGGCATCCGCGGGATTCATCGACAGATTATAATGAGAAAGTCCAACAAAAATAATTAGTTGGAATGTACCTGTAAGCTTGTTGCTGTAGAGCCACAGGACCCGCAGCTTGCTGACAGCCCCTAGCTCAGGCGGGATGTGGCCTGCAAGCGGACGGGGGGAACGGAAAGCTTAGCGGGACAAAAAAAACAAAGCCCCCGCTTTCTAGAATATCGGTCCTACAACTTGAGTTGACGCGGATGCGATGTTCTGAAAGTTCAGAAGTCGAAACAACGAAGGTTTTTTTTTATCTACTCAACTCACCCTCTAGCTTGTTGAATCTGAGGTCGAGGGTGTTGAGGGCGCCAAGATCTCCTAGCTGCCGCGGGATGTGGCCTGTAGATGAACGAGTCAAAGCAGGGCAGTTTAACGGGATAAAAGCAAAAGATACCTCCCGCTTTCTAGAAGATCCGTCCCGCCAACTAAAGAAAAATCCCCGCGCTTTCCATACAAAAGTTTCGTGAACGCGTAGGCGTAGGCGGGACCGATGTTCTGAAAGTTCAGAAGTCGAAAGAACGAATGTTTTTTTTTTATCTACTCAACTCACCCTCTAGCTTGTTGAATCTGAGGTCGAGGGTGTTGAGGGCGCCAAGATCTCCTAGCTGCCGCGGGATGTGGCCTGTAGATGAACGAGTCAAAGCAGGGCAGTTTAACGGGATAAAAGCAAAAGATACCTCCCGCTTTCTAGAAGATCCGTCCCGCCAACTAAAGAAAAATCCCCGCGCTTTCCATACAAAAGTTTCGTGGACGCCAACGCGTGGACGCCAACGTAGTCGGCGGAATTCATCTGAAGCTTGAATGTCTCTCAACAGCAGGTTGGTTGTTCCGAAGGCTGAGCGACTGCAGTGCTGCTAGCTCACCAATCTCCGGCGGGATGGATCCTGCAAGAAGACGAGAGCATGCAAATTAGCGGGAGTATCTTGCCGCTTTTTCTTGGTCGCGCTACCCATGCGCGCCTTTCCTTTCCCCGCCCGCCCCTTTTCTCGCTGCGCTTAGGCCCAATGCCGCCTTCAAATTTTGGGGAAAACCCGGAGGAAGTGCTGCGATGGGTTCAAATCAGACAAGGTGTGTTTTATAGTAGTGTTTTAACATTCCACGGGTGTTGTTGTGGATGGGGCTAGCCGACACCTCCGTAAGGAGGCGAGGAACGATTCGTTGTATCCTCCTGTCCGGGCTTGAACGGTGACCACGTAGTTTTCCGTTTAATGACCTCTGCCCAGGTCAATCCGAGGATGTGGTCCATTCGTACGCGTGGAGGGCCGTGGGAGTGCTGACTTCACTTTGGCACTTCTCCTTGCCGGTGCTGGATGACGTGACGGACTTATGGCTCTTGTGGGTGACTTTTGGAGATAGCCACGGCGGCCTGTGGTGGACATGTCTCTGCGTCTTTGTGATCGCGGACATCGAACGCGCGTACACGGCGTTCTTCTTCGTAACACTGTTGCTGAGTTTGATGCTTTATGTAGTTACCTGTGGTTGCGTTCGTTTCTTCGTTGTTGGCGTGTCCTTCCTTGCCGGACAAAACGTGAACTTCTCCAAACCCTGGCATTTGTTGTTGGATTCGCTTCTGTGGACCTTGTTTGGTTCGCGTGCTCGATCTAGTCCGTTCATGCGTACCTTTGGGTTGTCGGGTGAAGTACCGGAACACGCCTTGCAGGAAGCAGGCCTTGGCCTGCACGCGATCGACGTCATATTGTTTTATCACCCATTCCGATATTTTGGGGAGTTTGTGATGAGCTTTCCCCAAGGCCACAGGCGAGATGAAGTGGCAATGCGCAACGTGGCACATAGGCGAAAAGTATCGATGGTGCGCGCGGTGGGAAAACCTTGTCGGTAGATCCGCTTTTTCTTGCACTCTCCGTGGTGACGGGGGGATGGGACGAGAACGCCACGGGTCTGGTGGTACTTTCTGCTCTGTTTTCCGTGTTGGAGCTCGTCACGGAGCTCCAGTATTACGTGACGGAGGCCGAAGATGCGAACCAATTGTCGAATGCTATGGTGGGCGACGTTGAAGTTGGCGTAGGCGGGATTGAGAATCCGGAATCCCGTGCGATCGAGCTTCCAGGTCCAATGTATTGAAGAAATGAAAGTCAACAGCGTTCCGTAGGTGGGCAGTGTTGTGAAAATTCGGCTACCTAGTCTGCTCAGATTGAAGGCCTGTGCCGAATGTGCGGTTGAGAAGCTAGAGTCCGAGGAACGCAGTCAACAGTCCGACACCACCGTGGTTTATCATTGACGACAACACGCTGCTGCGCAACGGCGATGACAGAATTGACCGTCGTTACGGGTGGGTGAAGGCACCCAAAGTGCAGTGATACCCCCTGGCTCCAGGGTGGCGGAGTGAACGGAAACCCAGACAATTCCATTTTCCTTGTAACGCAGCGGCCTGGTGGCACCCGTCTTATTTGAGTCCCTTGTCCCCCGCGGCCACGGTTCCGTAAACCCCATTTCAATTTCAGCATTGATATCACTTTGCATTTTCGGCCCCGCCGGGTGGGTCTCGTACCAGAGTCCAAACTTGGCAAGCATTTCATCTCGCGAGACACCGACAAATCTTTGTTCTGCAGTGATGCGGAACGTGTCTGCCCCGCAGACGTCTCCCAGATCTATCAAGTGCGAGGACACGTGATCATAAATGCGGCCGTTCGAGTCTTCGAGCCACGTGTGAAAGCTCGCTGCCGTACGTCCACGGATTCCCTTGTAGATCGCGTGTCCGTACACAATGTGCACGTCGCGGCCGTTGGTGTCGGCGAGACCACAGACACCGACCTTGGCCCGCAGTTCTAGGCCAAGCGTCCGCCTGTAGAATTTTGCGTTTTCCAACACGTTGTGTGGGCATCTGCCATCAATACTTGTGTAGGCGGAGGACGGTACCAGCGGGTTCCTGGTGTAAGGCGGTAGTCTGTCGCAGCAACACGTGGTGCTCGTAAGCGGGCAGTGGCACCCGTATACCAGAAAGCCACCGAGCGATTTGCTGTGCACATACATCGGGTCGGCGCATCCCTTGGGCCTCGCTGGCGGGAAGCATAGACTAGTGTTTTGGGTACAGAGAAAGGGGGAAGACCCTTGTCCGCCCTTTTCATGGCCGTAGTCTTGCCACTTTTTGATTTCTTTTTGTTGGGAGGCATATTGTCTATGCACGAGAAGATGAAAGAAATACGTACCACGCACCGACTTTGAGAAGATCTACGCCTTACACACCAGGCAATGCGCCAAGAACAAAAATCTGGGCCCCAAACAGGCACCGATCGCTACCACCGCTCTACTCTCCACCCTTCCCTTTCCCGCCTAGTCTTCTTCGGACTCAAGCCATTGCACCACGAGCCCATTTTGAGCGTAGATGCCGCAATATTTGTAAAATATTCCTTGACACAGCACACTTTCTTCCTCTCTCATGAGCTTTTATTCAATAAAAATGTTTTATACGACACCGGTGTCGTACTTCCTTATATACGACACCTACCATTTCTTGGCCCACAGGGCTCCATTCGGCGTACAACAAAATGCGCTGTGTAGCCACGGCCCGCAGCTATCAGCCCATACCATTTTGGGTCGAATCGGCCAAGTGGTTGCGGAGAATGTCGTATATGTCCGCGACTTGGAAGGGAGAGACTGAATATCGCTTGTATTAGAAACGCAGAAGCAAGAGAAGAGAAGAAGA